TACTGCCGCCCTGGAGACAGTTCAAGGCATCACTCCAGCCATTGTCTCGGCAGCGCAGGCTGCTTTCCTGGAGAGCTACGTACAAGGTTTGAAGTGAGTTTGCCATCGCATCCAATACTTTGCACGATGGCTTGGACTTCGCTGACAGGTTTCATTGACTAGGACCGTCGCACTGACTTTGACCGGCTTCGGGTGCGTGGCCATCATCGCATGCTTCTTCATCGAAGACATTGGACCAAGAATGAACCAGAAAATCGAGATATTCCTGGAGAACGATGTCGAAGCTCACAAGAACAAGTATCACTAGCCTGGGCACTTTGTCTTGAAGGTGGAGCTCGTGTGGTGAATTTTCTATCTCTCTGCGCTCGCGCTACAGTGAATGTTTCAACATGGTATGCATCTTGTAGGCGGCTCTTTAGGACAAAGTTTATATCACTCAGCCTAGTACAATAGTTCTTCTGCGGTCGTGCACGGTCACCAGCAAACCGCTTTTGTATCCAGGCCATGGAGCAAGCTTAAGTCGAGAGATGCCTGCCTATTTCAGCAAGGCTTTAGCCCCCTGATGGGATGAAGACCTTGGTACGAGGAATGATAGCGTCCATGGGGTCGGCAGAATCCGGCCCAGCAATGAGTCTCATCATGATCCGTGAGAAGTTGGAGAGGAGTGTGGCATCCCTACTTGCTAGTGGGGATGTAGATCTTCATACTTAGGCACTCTTTGAGTCACTTCCGGGATTCACAGCGTTGAAGAAGCGTATCCGTCGAAGCAATGGACAACCCCATCGCTTGATCAAGTCATGCACCAGGATCCATGCTTGTGCTAAGCACCCTCGACTCTCTTTGCACCCACATCTGTTCAGCGTACCATGCCAAATTCGGGACTCGCTCGCCACTCTCTGAGCCCATAGGTGAATCTATTCGTCTCTCTCAAATCACCCCCCCGGACCCATCTCAACCAACGGGGCCGTCTGGAATACGAATGCATCATCTTTTCCCTGCGTAGTTTCGAACTCAGCCTGTCCATCATTGAATATCTTTCCTGCAGTGTGGAGGGTTTCCAGGCTATCAAAATCGAGCTCGAAATCATTTCCACGGTCGTTCATGTTCGTGGTGGCCGAAGTCAACAGGCCCATGGTTGACACATTGTTTGCGGTGTCCCCAACATCGAACATCAAATTTTGCGAATAGTCAGGCATGTGAATGGCGTCTTGGAGGTGGTCGAAATGCAGATTCGAGGAAGGGATCGCAGACGCAAAAGAAGGATCCGCCGGGTGATCGGCGTTGTCGTCACTTCCCATCGCGCCAGACCCCGAAGTTCCTTCATTGTGTCGGGTTGTCAAATTCACAATCTGATCACCAGGTGGCGGTGCTACCTGGCGGGGCTCCGAGAGTGAGGCAGCGGGATACATTCGCAAGTCAGTACCGGTCATACTGCAATTCTCTCTGTCTTCGTCTGTTTGGGGCGCCAGGGGGCCGATTTCTGTTCGCAGTATGGCGGCCTGGAGGAATGCGGTCGAATAGTCTGCTGCCGGATACATGTCGCGCAGTCTAGCCATGACCTCCATACACTTGCCGAAATCTTGCAAGCTGTTGCGGGGCAGGAACTCGTCCGGCGCCAAAACATCAAGCAGATGCGTGACAAGAGCGTGAAGGATGACCGTGATGCTCGGTGATGGGAGATAGCGTACCAGGTCTAAATTGGAAAGCGTGCTGGCTATCTCGGTGATGTTATTCGCTGCTAGTCGGACAGTGTCGCGAGACAAGTCGACGGCATTGGAGCGCGATATAGCCGGTAGCATTCCAGGCGGAGGTACTAATTGTGGCCGATGCAATGATGACAGCACGGCATAGTAGAGCATGTGTAAGAAGGCGCGGTTGAGAAAAAGCGGCCCATTTATCGAGTCGACATTATGTAGGTCAGTCGGCGTAGCAAACTGTGCTGCTTCTGGGAGTCTGTTCTTCCATTCCTGCAAGGCCCTCGCGCTGGCTTGTATCTGATCACCGCCAGGCTCTACTGACTCGGTGAATAGCATATTAGACGTCCATGTACAAGCCTTGGAACTTGTGACCCCATTTTGCACCGAGAGAATATGACCAATGCACAGACATAGCTTGGCCATCTCGATGCATATAATCGCAAGCTGTCGCTGTTGCTCCGTATCTCTCAAGACTTTGCAGTCGGCGGGGATGCAGCATGGTCCATCGGACAGTGTATCAAGCTCGAAGTCTGCCAGTTGTAACATTGGCACGTCAAAGACGACATCCTTCATGCGAGTCATGCGAGTCGATTTTCGTGTACCTAGTGAGACCTGGGCGTCACGCATGACGGCCGACCACCAAATCCTCTTATGCAGTTTCTGCTGCCATGGCTCTAATGTTGTAGAATCCTCGGGGTTGCGGTGGAGCCCAATCTTGTGAGCAAGGGAAACAGCATTTTCAATCCAATAATGGGTTTCTTTCCGGCCGTGAGGGCTCTCCCGCCAATAGGTCATTAGCAAGAGCGCTTGGATCAATGCTATTGAATCATCCTCGTAGTCAAGGTCGTATAGAAGTCGGGCTTTCTCGTAAAAGGCACGCCTTGCCTCACGTCGGGATCTGTACCCCGCAGCTTCGAGGAGACGCATGTCGACTGTAGCAACTCCGGTGAACATGACAGCCTGGAACAGCAGCAGGCTGACGGTGTGTACTCCATCATTCTGATCGACTATTCGCACCAGTTTGTGAAAATCGAGCAATGGCATCAACGGATGCATATACTCGGCGTAGTTGCGCAGGAGCTCATCCCGCAGCTCTAGGGGGGGTATTGTGAGTGCACCTTTGTTCTGCAAGTATGTGATATCGTCTTGTCCAAATCGAGCCGGTAGTGGCTTGATGAAAGCAGGCAGTGCCGCCCCTGTCAGATTTTGGGGCGAAGGTAGACTGTGCATGAGAGGCGCACCCTCGAGCATCGCTATCATGGGGTGAGTATGCGGTTCGAAGTTGAAGGGAATGTTCGAAGGTGCCATAGGTGTGGCAAGACGGATCGCACTTGGTTCTGGAGAGAACAAGCTGGTATCCGTCAACATTCTACTCGCACCGGTCTCCAGTGAGGAATGAGGGAGTTGATCGTGCCAATGTCGCACGGGCGGATGGGGTGCGTCTGATGCCTGTGCAGGAGCAACCAAAGGCAGCAGTGTGCCGCTGTTACTGGTATTGCCTGCCGCAGTTGTGTCCGTGGTCCTCTTTCTGCATGAAAGTCAGCGATTTGACAGCGCAACAGTACCGATGTGGCCTACTTCTTGCGCCTGCTCTCGCCCACAATGCACGCGATCTCATCCAGTCTGCAATGGACGCATGGAATGCCATGCTTGGCCACATTACAACGGATCTTTCGCCCTCGACAGCTTTGACATGCTTGCGGAGCCCGTCTTTTCACACTTTTCGGTTGTGGTGGGTAGTTGGGCCGTTGTTCCGGCTCGATTCGCGAGTGTGGTTGGCTTGAGTTTGGAGGCAGGGCAGGCAACGACTCCGCTGGATGGTTAAGTGCTAGCACCATGGCTTCTGTGCGAAGAATTGAACAGTGAATTGCTGTTGCTTGGCCGATTCAGGAGGACAAGCATAGATGCAAGTTGACAAACGAAACAAAATGCCTAGGTACTACTAGGTAGGTAAGCGAGCAGTTGACCTCCGCAATCATGTGCCGTCGTGCCGCACTCACAAGTTGCTAACAAATACCCCGCATGAAGCCGCACTGTTTGGCGGGGAATTTCCCCTGCAGGATCCTATCGTTGTCCGTGTCGGGGCGAATATTGCTGGAAGGACGGGATGTAGGGTCAGAACAGAACAACCTCACACTTGTGGATCGATGTGAGCTTTACCCAGATTAATAGTCGCTTAGGCACGATGCGAGAAACCTAGTCCCAGGTGTGAAGCAACCCTGATCCGCGACTCTAGTGAGTTGTTCCTGGATGGCCTTGAAGAGACGGAGACATCTCGCATATGTCGCAATAGCAGAGCACGAGCCTCGTCAAGATTGTCCTGGTGAATACAGTAATCGTCATATGGGACGGTGGAGATTGCCGCATCGAACGCCAAAGAACTCTGAATCATTGTCTTGGTGAATTCGGCCATAGATGACCTTTTCATAGAAGCAGAGATTCGTCTCTACGAGTCAAGGGGAAATGGCGGCAGAGCGCTATCACCGAGTGTCAAACCGTTTGTCAGAATCGCCTCTCGCGCATGTCCTTTGCAGAAGAAGTCTTCGAGTAGCTCCGAAGGCTGGACAGTGAATAACATTCTACCACGACGATAAGTAGAGGCGCACATGTACAACACGCCTCTTGCCAAGTTGAGTTGAGCTTCTCCCTACGAATAGGTGCTCGGGTGGTCGGCGAGTCGGTGACAGCGGAGCCGACATCTTGTAAGGCTTGGTACCACGTGATGGTGCGAGCTTGTCACCGTGTCACCCTCACAACTCGTCGTCGCCCTCGACCCACAGGCCGTGATCGAGGCTCAGGAGGTTGTTCGTTGGTGAAACAGCGCGTGGTTCCCTCAAACACAGGCAAATCTCAATCTGATACACGACCAACACCTTTAGTTGCTTCTCTCACGCTTAAACACCTCCCAACGCTGAACAAAATCCCTCGATTCGACTTAGTCTCTCGTCTCGATGGGTTATCATGTAGCAGCCTCGTTCAGCCGCTTCACTGACCAACTGGATCCCAGGGTTTCGGATCTGTCGTGCTCCGACAGCAACTCCTCGTCAACAATGACAATCCCTCCGTCATAGGTAGGCATGGCAAGCGCCTCCTTGGTAAAGTATGTGTGAGATACCCGTGGCCGAGTAGCTATTTGAATCTTCCTTTCTGCGCCGAAGTCAGCTTTTCGTCTCGTTCGTTTCCATTCCTTTGCGCAGTTGATCTGCAGCAGGCTCGTCATTTTCTCAGTCGCACCCACTCGAGTAAAGGAAAAAGTCAGCCATTCTTTGGGGTCACATTGCCTATCAGTCACAATTCGCAGTCATGACCACCGAACCCCTGCCTGACCGTCAAGCGCTGCGAGAGGCTTTTGACCACGAGATCTACTCTTCCTCTGGGACTACGCTACGATTTGGCTCCCTGTTCTACGATTGCGATGTCTTTCCCGCCGAGAAACGAATCCTCGTTGTCTTCATCAGGCATTTCTTCTGCGGGAACTGCCAGGAGTACGTCCGCAGACTGTCTTCGATTGAGTCGCCGTTTCATCCATCTCAGAAGTCGCTACATGCCTCCATGTCTGTAGCTTCTACGACAAACTTTTCCAAACCTGCTTCTCGTACCCTCCCTACGGTCATAATCGTCGGGCCTGGCCAACCTAGTCTGATTGCCTCCTACAAGAACGTCACACAATGTCCTTATGACATCTACGCCGACCCCTCCTTGCGCCTCTACGAGCTCTTGGGAATGTATCGCACACTATCCCTTGGCCACAAGGCCCCCGGGTACATTGAGCATTCGCTCTTAAGTGGTGCCCTGAAATCTGCCTGGCAAATCGTCCGTCGTGTCGGCAATGGGGATGCCATGAATGGTGGAGACTGGGACATCAACGGTGGCGAGTTTCTCTTTGTTAGATCTGCGTCAGGTAGACCCTCTATGGGCTTGAAATCTACCTCGCCTTCAAGGTCGAGATCGAGGTCCAGGTCGAGAAGTGCCCAGTCCCAAGATTGGGATGTGTCGTGGTGCCATCGCATGCTCAACTCCAGAGACCACACCGAAATTATCAACCTGCAATATCATGCCTGCCTCCCGGAACTGTCATCTCGAACAGACTCACGCACCTCGTCTCCTGCACCACTGAAGTCGATCTTGGTCAACGGCGGCAGGGCACATTCCAAGACTCCCTCAGGAAGCTACTCGACCGAGCGTTTGGGTTCTTGTCCAGGTCCAGATGTTCCTAAATCTCGCGAAGAGGTTATTGCAAGCCAGCGTTTCAGCCGCCCGCACTCCAGAAGCCACTCAAGGCCAAAGTCCCAGCATCAGCGCCGACCGCGAAGCACAAGCACCGGTTCCCTCGTGAACAAGACAGAAAATCAAAGTCACAGGAGGGTATGGTCAGTTCTCAGCAACTCAAGCACATCGCGCTTGGATAGTGTGGCTAGTCCCATCTCCGAACTCGCTGAAGAGGACTTCAAGCCGCGAAAGAGCTTCTCGGCCACAATTGCAGAGAGGGCGAGTTTTGGTGGGCTCATAAAGCGGCCGAGATCGTATTCGAGTCCACAACGGACAGAGACTTCCCCTGTCGTGGTCAACGCCACCAGAGAAGCTGGGAGGAACACTCTATCTGAATCGACTTACGGTTCCACTGCCTCTAAATCGAGTATGACACCAGATGCCAATCACAATCCTGGTAACAACAACGAGTTTAAGCAGACATTCAACGACCTCATTCTCCCCTCGTCCTCCTCGTCACCCACCACCACACCCTCACCCCCTTCCGATCGCATTGCGCCGAAATCGCAGCGCACTCATGCACGATCAAGAACATTCTCCTTTTCCCGACCGAGTTTTCCCTTGCGAAGAAGGGCAGCGAGCCAGATCGAGATGAGCGAGGACGGCGTCATGTTTGTCGACGGCGTAGAGTTCGTGAACGTCATCAGCGTCAAGGCACGGATCGAGGCCAGCAGCGCACGAGATCAGAGAAGGGAAAGGGCAGACAGTGGCCTCGGCATGGAAGTCGAAACCCGCCATGACAAAGCAGCTCCGAGAAAAGAAAGCAACGCAGAGGTCCCAGACAGCAAAAAAAAGTACTCCGTCCTGACTACCCTGCCAGAGCTCTCCGCTGTGACCAGACAAGGCATTGGAGAGCTGAATGCTGCTTGATGGGCTGCCTTGGGCTGATGGCATTGTCCACATGAGACGGAATAGGACTAGAGAGGATCGACTGACCGGAAATTTCCCCCCTTCGGTATTTGCTCCCAGGGTTTCTATGCGCCGCGGGACTGGCAAAGCAAGGTTAACGTGCAGGACAGATCTGGCTCGACGAGAGGATGTCACTGAGATTCGAAACACAGCGCTCTTAAGAACACGCTCACGAGAGCGGATGATGAATAGGAAGAGCTTCGAGTTTATATTGAAAGCAAAATCTGCGGCAAGCCCGCATAGTGCTATTGACTGCAACAGGGGAAAATGCAGACGATAGTCGATCTCTGAATACTCAAAGTTGTATGCATCATCCTGGTAGTTGAGGAAGACCCCTCAATAAATCTAAAATGCATATTTTCCAACTGCACCTCTCTATCCATAGTCCCGGAACAAAATTCGTCGTCAGGTCTTATCATTTAGTCATGATGCGGTTGCTCGGTCTGTGGGTCATTCTTTTGTTGTGCGAATATACGCTGGTTCTTTCAAGGCCACCGTCGAACATCAGAGGGCATTGCTCGCGATTGCTGGAGATGTCGGCACTGGTCTTCGACTCAAGTCAGAGTCGTTATGACTCTCTTGGAAAAAAACATAACCATTCCCGTCCCAAGTTCTGGGGTCACCATTGACATGACTTATCTGCGTATTGGATGGTGCAGCAGGGTCTGGTAAATCAAACTCAGGGGTGTGAGAGAGAGGAAAGGTAGGTAGTGAGGGGGTCGAGAAGCTGGCAAGCGTTCCAGAGCTGAAAACGTTTGCCTGTATACTTTGACTGGAGGGATCTTGGGTGACTGCCTCGTCCAGACTCACAAATGGTTCTTGGGAGTTGAAAGGCGGCAGAGTGTCAGGGAATCCACTAAGCAGTGGCGGGCTGGTGATCGAGGACATATCTGCATTCATCGATGGTGTTTGCAGATTTGATTGAGGTTGGAAGATGGGGAGGTCATGGGCGTTTGGCATGGATGCCACTCTGGCTTGGCCAATAGCATAGTCGGTTCCATAGGAAGCCTCAAAATCTGTCCAGCTGAAGGAATTGTCTCCCAGCTGTCCATCTGAGAAATTCCACGTACCATTGGATTCGTTGGGTAGAAGGTCCCACGGGGTTGGAGTGTCTGTTAATGGATCGGCATATACCTCATTTGGTGACATGCCCATCCTACTAGACGGTGAGTGTACATTTGAACAATGTGAACTGAGAGGCCGGTTACTCCAGGAATGCTGCTGTATAGGGTATGTCAAATAAATGGCATTCGGGTTCAGTGTGTCTGAAAAGAACTGCTGCAATTGGTGTTGAGATACAGCGGGCGTTCTAGACAGGAAAAAGGATGGTTGTCCGCCCATACATGACCTTGGGTTGTTCTGAGACATAGCAGGGATTGGAGTTAGACTTTGGTTCCCAATATATGCCTGCTCTGCGAGGTTCTTGACTTGTCGCTGGGTGTGATTAATTGACGTTGCGTTGTTGGGATGATCGGGACAGTAAAGACAGGAACAGCCAGATCCGCAAGAACAATTGGACTTCCAGGATGCTCCTTCAACTTCAGTTTGAACTTCCTGGGCACGGTCGGGCTCGGGTTTCACAAGGACGGGATGAGGCTGTATCGCTGCAACGTTTTGACGATGTCGACAACCACCTTTAGGCGACTCGGGCTCAGTATGGGCTTTTCCAGAACCACAGCAGGACGGCTTTGCTTCGTCCGACCTGGCATCTTCACGCTCCTTCATGCGTCGTTTCCGATCTTGATATTCCTCGTCGTCGATTTCTTTCCCATTGGCATCTGCCCAGACCTTTTTCAGAGTCATCTTATTGCCGTCGGCATCTTCCCAAACTGGTTTTGGTGTCGATGTTGCCTCTCGGCTAATAATGGCAGGGTTATCCACACGAACTATCAGATACATCTCCTGAGTACAAGCACAGTCTCTCTCACACTTGCAAGCTTTTGTTGTGCATGCGCAGTTCCTCGGACAGTGGCATCCTCTCTTCTGGCCTGCTGAAGGACGACCGGGTTGGTTTGTTTCAGAGATAGGTCTCGTTTTCCCATGGTCACATTTATGAACCCGATGGCCTCTTTTGCAAGACTCGCAAGCGTATGTCTTGCCATTGATATGTTGTATGGCGGGTGTCTCGTTTTTGTAGGAGGCTTTTAGCTTTTTGACCTTGCCATCCTCTACTCTGGAGTTGCCCTTTGCAGGACTGCCGACCTTGGGCGGAGAGGTTGAGGGGTCTTGCATCGTTCAGCGGCGTAATGTAGCGACCCGAGTGTGGCTGGTTGGTGTTACCGCCGTGAATTGAGGACAAACGTTCAGGGGAAGTGGGCAGCAATATAGACTCGCTTTCTAATTGGATCTGTCGGGTACAGTTCGTGGTCTGATCGGCAAGGGCGGCGTCAGTTTGTTGGACCAAAAGGTGTCACTGAAAGGATTGGGGGCGACCACATGTCTACTGAGGGGAGCGTGTCGAGTGTCATGGACTAAGGGGAGGTTGAGAATTGAATATGGCCTCTTCCACATGGAACAACCCAAAGAACAATGGTAGTGGCGTTATGGCGGAGTTGAGAGCGTGAGACCTCCTCAGGGACTACAAGCTGAACTTCAAATAGAAGCGAGTCACCGACACGGGATCCGCACAGGCGCTGTCCCAATAGAGAGGGGAAAAAGTATTAGTAGTTCAAGTTCCCGTGCTTGATGCCCCCAAGCTTATGCAGGTCAGCCGGCGCCTACATTCAGCCTACCTACCTTTGAGCCAGTCATCTTTGGTTACGTTTGTACATTTTTTTGTTTTGTCTCCGGTCTTGGTTCCGTTCTCACATACCAACTGACCATGGGGGTGGACATGACCGACAACGACAATAAAAGCAGAAAGGGGCCTCGTCCAACGGCTGAGAAAGATACCCCATCGTCTTTCTCTTGGTCTCTTCCTCAGCCCCTTCGTCGCATCTTCGATCGATTTCCGCTCGTCACATATCCTGCCAATGCTTTGCCGCAGCGCGTTCCTCGACATCGACACGACAACATCCTCTGCATTTTCCAGTCTGATGAGCCAAACTCTCGAGATGGCCCCTCCTTCAATCCATCTTGTCTAAAATGGCAAGCCTACCTCAAATTCCACGGCATCCCTCTCCATACTCGGCCATCTAATAACCATGCCTCCCCTACCGGTGCTCTACCTTTCCTCCTGCCTGCCTCGAGAGATGCCAGTCGACCAGCTTCTCCTGTTCCCGCCAATCGATTAGTTAAATGGGTCGTATCCCAGGGGGGAAAGGAAGAGACTGTACACCTTCGCCAGGACGCATACACGGCATTGATTGATCATGCTATTAGAAGTTCTTGGCTCTACTATTTGTATCTCGACGAGGACAACTTCAGGGCTGTCGCATGGCCGCTGTACGTTGCACCGTCCTCATCATCCTCGGCCGTCCGCCTAAGTCTAGCTCATCAGCTACAAGCTGCTGCAAGAGAAGAACTGCGAAAAACAAACACTATCATCGACCCCCAGCAACTCTACTCCCAGGCTGAACAAGCATTTCGGTCATTGTCTATACTGTTAGGCGATGATAAATTTTTCTTTGGTCAATCCACGCCAGGCCTTTTCGATGCCAGCCTCTTTGCATACACCCAAATTATTCTTGACGAACACCTCTCTTTCAAGACACGGACACTAAACTCGTCCTTAGAGAAGCACCAAAACCTAGTCCAACACAGAAACCGCCTCTTGCGCGGCTTCTTCTCCGATCGAGGGACTGTCATGTAATTTTTTTTCTGAGAATACCTCCAAACCATACTGTTATGCCAACCCATTTCCCTGACCTTTGTCCCAGGGTTGCTACCATTGACTCATCCACAGTCTTCTCTTTGATCTGTCCAAGCACTTCAAACCCGCTTTTCAAAGCGGCCGCTTCGACTTCAACCAATGTATGGGAGTAACTGGTTGGACGAATCTTTTCACCCGTTTTCGGATCGATGAAACCAGCCTGGCTGATTTTGCCCATTTCTGAGTGCATGTTTGTCAATACTAAGATACCCCCGGGTCTGAGGATTTTGGCGACTGTGCTGAAGAAGACGTCCGCAGGGATATGTTCGATGACCAGTGTCGACACAACGGCATCCGCGCCGATGGCACACTCTGGCGGCATTGACTCTTGCACCATGTCATAAACCTTGAGTTGCAGCTTGCCACTTGCGTGGAATTTCTGCAGTCGTTCTTTTGCCACCTCGAGCATGCCAGGACTGAGGTCAAGCCCAACTACTGACGCAGCACGTTCCAACTCCAGCAAAGCTGCTGTGTTCCTGCCCGTTCCACAGCCCAAGTCCACCATTGTCCACGGTCGAGGATAGGAGTCTTCATCTAGAATTTCGAGCATTCTTGGCATGAGAGTCTTCATCTCGATCGTATCCAACGCCTGCAGAAAGTTACCATCTGTGTCATACACAGCCGACCAAAGATCGTAGGCTTGCGTGGTGGAGAGGTAGCGGGTCGTGGGATCAAGAGACTGTGGTATCACTTGAGACATGGTGATAATAACTCGTCTCCGCACAAATGCCTTCGTGGTGTATCGCGCCTCCTCAATAGCCAGACAGAGAGCAGGAATTGCCAGCAGAAGCGTGCGGGCGAATGCGGTCTTCCTCGAAAGAATATACCAGGATTGAGGCGGCCGACGCTAAAAGTGGAAGAGGAAATTGTGAAGCAAGAGGTTTCTGATCAATTTTGTAAAGTTTCTCCGCAAAGCTGCCAATCCCCTCTCTCGTGAATGAGTCACATTGCTCCTCGAAGCATATGAGGCCTTGACGATGAGAGCAAAATTATTCGCAGGATCGTACCGAGGTATGCAGCATTCGTATTGAAGTGTATTGATGGTAGGTAGCAAGTCGCGAAGGGCGGAACAAATCAGAGCCTGAACCTTGCGCCTCGCTTGAGCAGACTCGATATCATGTTCAACGGGTATCTTGCAAACGGGTTCATG